CCGTTTAAAAGCAAACCCTTCGATTTGCAAGAATTTTTGCATAGCGTAGTGAATTGAGTTTAGAATGGTGTATCTTAAGTTTAGGGAAAATCGGTTCAGATTTAAATATAGCTCTCATATATATATATATATATATATATATTCATTTGATTTAAACAAATTAAATCTAGAATAACAAATTAAATCTAGAATAACCTATATTGGATTATGTAAAATGTGTGCATATTGTGCACCAAATAATAGCCGTTTCTCCGATCGAGATACATTTTGAACAGCACACTGTGCTGCAGCATACCAAGTGGTTGCTCATATACGTTCAGATGTACATACAGCTCCCATACACAATTGTGCACGATTTCATACAAATGATACACCAAAGAACCCAAGTCTGTTCGATTAACATATGTTTCAGAATTGTATGTGTATAGGTTGTTTTATAATTAGTTCAAATATCTATGTAGTCCACACATTTAATTTCGTAATTTCTTCAGGATATTGTACATATGAGCATCTCTTGTATTTACCCAAAGTGGTGAAGAGTATCATATAGTCGGCCCCGTCCGACTTTACTACTTTCCTTACTGGTTTTAAAGTTAATTATGATCACATTAATTAGACTATAGTTTTGTATTTCGCCACCAATCCTCATTTGCTTGGGATATTTTTCCAAATAAATCATTAATCACTCCCCTAAATAAAGATCGATTCCTTCCTAATTTTTTACATCCACAAGATCATGACTAAGTACCACCAGAGAAAAACTCTGAATGAGAATTCTCTAAAGAACTTAGAAGTTCTTGTGGTCGAACTTTGTGGAGAATCAGCAATGGTGATGAAATTTGCCACAAGTCATTCTTTTGCGCCAAGGACAAACCCTAACAAAATCGGATAAAAAAGGTCCACTTTTCAATTTTTTAATGTTTTAGTTGCATGTTCCTATCGAAGTGGCTGCAATTTGACATTCCGGGAGAAATATCTTTGCAGACAATTTTCGATATATAGGGTGATTTGTTAGCTATTAAGTTTTAGGCGCATTTCACATTTATTGGTGAATATAAAACTTCTTTAATTCCCAGCAATAGTCCAGCTTTACTTGTTTAGGTTTTTATTAAAAAAAATATCAAATTATCAAAAATAATAAAAAAAAGTGTCAATCGGTGTTGCCGACAGATATATACCTTCAGCCTATGGTTTGCGGAGGTCTTCGGAATTACACACTTATTTTATTAATCGCTTTTTATAAGATTTATTTTTATCAAAGATTTTTCTGATTTAATGTTGATCAAATCGGTTATTCAATTTGCTTCAATGTAATAAAATTTACAAGTTTATAAAATATTGACCCTTTCTGGGGGATGACTTTATTCAGGCTTTGTGAAGATAATATAATCGCGTAATTTTAATATTTATAAATCCAATAAATATTCACATTTTAATATTAAATTTTTCATAGTTTGTAAAAGTTTTGGTTCAAATAGGAAAGTCCGTTCGCATGATATTATAAAATTAATTTGTTGCTTATGATATTATAAAATTAATTTGTTTGACCATTTTGTGTGGGAGATACCAGAAGGAGTGAACACAGATGCCCCATCTTGAGCTAAGTTTGGACGAAATATTAAAATGTACAAAGTTTAGATGAAATCGATTACTCCTCTCGAGAATTATCGTGTGCACCAGCCGGTCAGACAGGCAGATAGACGGACGGGCGGGCATTTGTAAATCGACTCCAAATTTCTGAAACGGATTTGGTCTAAAGAAACATGGTGTCTAAAACCAATATTTCGATAAGGCACCGTATCAATGTTAGCCATAAGGCTGAGGGTCTAAACATTATCAATGCATGGTAAGATGTAGAATATAATACCTCCATGGTATTTTGTAAAATACTTCTATGTATAGATTTGAATCTTTTAAGAAAACTTGCCGTCACTACTAACTGCAAAAAAGTATTTTTGGAGTTCAGTAGTTTTTAAAGGTCCTTGGAACTGAACTTATTATCCAGCTAAGTTCAACTTCTTAGTATTGCCATTAGATCAGTTGGGCGACACATATGAAACTGGAACGATTTAATTTGTCATCGGGTTTTTTATATCCCCCACCATAGTATGGAGGGTGTATTAATTTTGTTTTTCCGTTTGTAACTCATCGAAATAATCATTTCCGACCCTATAAAGTATATATATTCTTGAGCAGTGTAAAATTCTAAGACGATCTAAGTATGCCCGTCCGTAGTAATCACTCTAGCGTCTAAGCGAATTGAGATAAATCACCACAATTTAGCACAGAGTCCACGTTTAGGCATAGCTCCCATATAAGGATACCCCCCTATTTTCGGTATTTTGGGGTTCTTGAGCGCGTTATTCAACCAAATTCGATAAATTTGGTACATTGGGTTCTTATTGGGTCCCAAATTTCTCCACCAACAATTTTAAACATAGGTCCACTTTTTCTGGTAGTCCCTATATAACATACCCCTCAATTTTCAGTATTTTGGGGATTTTGATCACATTTTTCGACCGAATTGTCTGCAATTTAGTATTTTGAGTTCTTAACGTATAGCAAAGCTCTCAACTAAAAATTATAAATATAGGTAAATTTTTTCGGCTAGCCCCTATATAAGGTTACCCTCCAATTTCCGGTATATTGGGATTCTTGAGCGCGGTTTTCAACCGAATTCGATGTAATTTGGTATTTTGTAATCGTATATGGTCACAAGTCCCTCTACCAAAAATTATTAATATTTGTCCTCTTTTAGGGATGGTCCCCATATAACTGGTCCTCCATATACCTGTATTCAATCATAGTATGGTGGGATATCCTGTACTCGACATTGTCCGTTTATACAATTTATTTTCTGTTGTAATCAGTCTTCCTTTGGAGGATATCGCGATATATAAGGTTCTACAATGACTATATCGGCCCGCATTTGGGCTATTTAGCGTGAAAGAAGGTATTGAGATACAAAACTAAACCAGTAAGTAAAGTCGGATGGGGTCGACTATATAATACCGTTCACCACTAGGAGTGTATTAAACAGATGCATCCTAACAGACATCTCATTTTTGAAGGTCCATTAACATAATATTGGATCAACTAAAATATGTTATCTTTATCTAAAAATGGACCGACTTAGATCAATCCATTTCAAGCAAAAATTAATCGGACATCCGTTGAGCTATATCTGTACTTCTACAAAACGCAACTACGTCATTCTATGCTAAATTTAGTACGTTGTGCAAAAAAATGGTGCACCATTTGCTTACTAATTTCAGTATTTTTTGTTCCTATCGGTCATATTCAGATGTGGGAGCTATATCCACATCTGAACAGATTTCAAAAAAACTTTACGCACGTTATGTTACAGTAACATGAGCACGTTGTGCAATATGTTGTCCCAATCGGCTTAACTTTGTGTCTTTGGTGGACTATTTACCTAAAATCGGACGAAACTATTTCTGCACCTTCAAATATTCCACAAAAATCTCGCTCATAAGATTTTAGATAGGGTACACAAAAATGAGAAATCGACATTCGACTGTTTCATCGTCCGTTTTCTAATTTTATCCGAATAAATTTTTAATAAATTGGAAAATTATAAGTTGGCTTCGTCTAAAATATTTGATATACTTCTCAATTGTTCTATCTATTGATTTTTTCTAAAATAATTATAAAAAGCAAAATACTTTTTGTTGGTAAACATTTTTGGATTGATATAGATTTTGGCCGATATCTTCGAGACCAATAGGTCTTTCACAGTGATTCTTGCAGAAATAAGATCTAAATATGTCCACAAACATTTTCATATTTTCATGCATAATTAATTTCACATCTTTAGTACGCTGGCTTCAGGCGTATATATTGGATTTTTTTTTTTGAAATTTGTATTGAGGTATATAGAAAACTAGAAAAATGAAACGAAAAGGGAATGGAATGCCAAGATGTCAAAAATCATATTTTATATGGTATTTATATCCAAATTTGCTTATTATCGCCTCCACCATAAGGTTAGTCGTGGCTCTATGAATTAGTTCGGTTCCAGAGATCTATGTCGAATTGAGTTTTTGTAGTAGTATCAAAACAATATTATTATGATTATCAAACTAATATCTCCGCATATTCTTTACTCTAATATCCTACTATGCATTTAAAAATAATAGTTTCGATTGTACATTTATTAAATTTAATCACATTTCACAAAAAACATATTATTTAATATGTAAACAGACCTCAAAAAAGTAAGTACAAGTTTTACTGACCAAAAAAACAAATTGATTCTTGTGAAAATATACCAAGTTGTATTCTACCATTATCCTTTCACATGTCATTCCACCTTCTAACCATTAAAACTAATTAATAACCCAAATTCTAACTGCAGTGATTATATTTAGTTCATCTGCTAGGCACATGAGTACTCAAGTACAAACGAGAACATAATCTGTGTTTTGTTAATGTGCGGATTTTCATTCCGCACGGGACTCGAATTAAATCCGGCATATGCACACACAAGTTGAACTAGATTTTTTGGACACTCCCTCCTTCAGTATGCAGACACGGTGATTGTGGAATCCCCTGATTGGGCACACACAATACGAATTCAATAAAAATCAGATCATCTCCGATTAAATGGCCTGACCTGCTCTACTCTGCTTAAGTGCAATGCAATTTAAAGGATGTCCCATGTTTGGAAATTTAATCATGGGAATTTCCCAACCTAATTTGTAAAAAGGCGCAACATGTACGAAAACCCACAAGCGAGCATGCGCGGTATTTGGATTAACAACAGGTAGCGGGAAGATTAATGAAAGGAATGCACGGCGCGATGTTATACCTGTTCCTGTGGTGGTTAATGTGTGCGATCGGTGTCGTCGATGTTGGCACCTGCTGCCTGCGACGAAATCTGCATTTAGAGTATATATTTGTGTGTCACCGCGACTAAAGACAACATTAACCCATCAATTGTCATTGAGTACACAACCAAAACCAAATCACACAACAGTATGGCTGAAGTAATGCAACATCAAGTGGTAAGTTGAACAAATTCATGGATTACCTACGGAAAAAATGTTAATTATCACTTTCCCCCTTCCCTACTTTAGAACATTCGTAAACGCCGCATCTTGGAAGCTTTTAAAGAAGAAACAGAAAATGCGTCACCACCACAGCCAGTGGTTGCAGAAGAGAAGAATGAACTTGTCGGTCTAGATTTAACCACACCCCGCGACCAATCACCACCACCCCAACAAGAAGAGGTTATGCCCAAGCTAATTTCCACCGATAAGGATGAAGCCAAACTTATCGATATGAAACTTAAAGTTTTGGAAACCTGGGAACTTAGCAAACGCCGAGCCATTGAAAAAATGGTCAAGGATGTTGAAGATCTACAAGTTTTGGAAGAGAAAATTGAAAAACTGGAGGATATGTTGGATGATAAGAACATTGAAATCAATGAAGACGATTTCGAGGCTTTCTATCAGAAACAAATGGAAACTTATCCGATGATGGAACCCTTGGTTCCCCTTGAAGAGTTACAACCACAGACTCCCAAACGGGAGGAACAACAAAATAAGAGAGTCAAAATTTCAGCCACTTCAACACCCATTACCCGGAAACCTGAAAAGATAGAAAATACCGAAATCATCGATAAATTTGTAGCCAATGAAGATGGTATGGTGGTAATCGGTCCAAATGGTACAACAATTGCCAAGAGTGCACTGAGTGCCATCAACTGGTCCCTCTCAGGCGCAGCCTTGACACGTAAAATTCTTATGGAAGTTTTCGATAGAGAAACCCTGGCGTTCCACACACTAACGGGCAAACCATCTCCTGCTTTCATGGATTGTGATAAACCAATGAAAAATCAATTGGATACCCAAAAAGTAGCCGACATCATCCATTTGGTGACCCAACACACAAATCTAACGGCGAAAGAAGTGCGCAATGCCATCACCACCAAATGTGCCGACGAGAATAAAATGTATCGTCAAAGAGAAAAGAAACGTTTAAATGCTGCCCTTAAACTTCAGCAGCAGCAACAACAGCAACATCAGTCACAGGATCTACAACAATCGAATTAGTTAGGTGACATTCCGAAAATGTCTCATAATTTGTAAATATTTTAAATTTATTTTAATTGTTATATATGTTTTGTGTCTTAGTAGTTTTTTTTCAATTCTTTAAAAAAATGCAATTGTGAATTGAGTCAATAGAAATAAGATTTCTAATATTTGTAAATAATATTGTTTCAACTAAAAATTCCTTTCAACCAGTGTCCTGATTAATGAGATTAATAAATAAACAAAAATAACATTTAATTCGAAATTATGGTATTTTACTTATTAAGAAATAATATATAATATAATGTGTTAGGAATATTATTTAATCAGGGATCGCCTTCGAAGTAGTTTTACTTCGAAATATCGTGTTCTCAGAGTGTACAAATTTTATATAGACCCTGTTCCATGACAAGTATTTGTTATTCGATGTGTCTGTAATTTAGAATTATAAGTTGCTTGCAACAAAAGCCCCGTCTCATTTTAGATATTTTGAAGGTTGCAGCTACATTTTAAGCCATACAGGCTGTAATTTACTGGTTTAGTTTTCAAAGGAGAAAATTTTCAATATTGGCGTGCTCGTAGAAACCTCGCGATATTTTCGTTCACTGGTGTAATAATGGTAAAACTAAACAATATCTAAATACGGAAACCCTATAACAGTTTTAGTATAAGTCCGAAGTTATTTAGGATACTGTGGGAACTTATCCCAAACACATGCCTCTTTAATAGTTGAAAAAGGTTTGCAAAATTCAATTTAAAACCAGTGAGCGGAGCAGTATAGTCGGACGGGACCGACCATATGAAACCCTACACAATTTCCACCAAAATCTAATTTCTGGTGTTCTATACTCTGAGCCTGGGCAAAATTTCCAGATATTTGCACTCTCTTGACTCCACGTTCTAACCCTGGCATATTTTTCCAAATCTTGTTTTCCCGAGTTGAATATTTAACCATTAAAATAAAAATATGGTCACTTTAGGTTGTAGTTGATTTGACCTTCTTAATATTGACCGATCATCATCTAAACAGCCGTTCTATGTAATTGTTCAGATCCCCTTCACCGTGTAAAATATGTGGTTTTCTGCATATAATAATAGCGTCTAAAGCCGAAATAAAGATTTCGGTTTATTGCATCCTAAGCACCACCTCAACATCCCGAAAATTATAGGCATCGTCATTGACCATAACCGGAACTTTATGTAAAATTTCAAATCGATCAGCGCGACATTTCCGCCCTCTAGTGGGGTAATAATAAACTAAACAATATCATAGCACATATACACCTTCAAATATTTTCGTATAACTCCCACATCCAAGCACATTCAACCATATAATTGATAACAATTTAATGGTCAACCACGCCTCTTGTATATACCATCAACTTCTCGGGTCTACGTCCTTCAGGAGTAAATATATTCGCCACAGAATACAAAATTTTTCATTTTTCACACAAAAGTCTGGGTCGATTTGACCCGCTAAATATTGACCGATCTTTATCAAAACAGTCATGGTTATTTTAGCCTCTGGAGCGATCAGAAAAACTGACAAAAATTAAGTATTTTATCCCCTAAATATTAACCGATCTTTACCAAAAGCAATAGGGGTTTTCATTGGGCGGAACTCATTCTACATGAAAAATTTCGTGAAGATTGGTCCATAACTGTGGCCTGTATCGTGTTTACAAATTATAATGGACAGGCGGACGGACACACCTGTCTAGAACGATTCAGCTGGTTGAGATATCGGTATACATAAAGGTGGGTCTATGACCAATATTTCGCGGCGTTACAAACTCTTGGGGCTGCATAGAACTATAATACCCTGACAACATAGTTGTGTAACGTATAATTAATATTTATAACCCCCACCATAGTAAGTTTTTTTTTTTGCCGTTTGTAATTCATCGAAATAATCATTTTCGAACCTATAAAGTATATATATGTACCGTAAACCTATATCTATAAAGTATATATATGTACCCCAAATGTACCGTATTTTGAGCTCGTGTTTGGTCGAATTCGTTGTAATTTGCATACTGAGTTCTTATTGGGTACCAAATCCCCACACTATATACTATCAGTATCGGTCAATTTTCCCCTTAGGCATACCTTTATATTTAGCCCTCATATAAAGGCATTCCTAAAATGTCGGTATTGTTGGGAGTTTAGGCACGTTTTCAACCGAAAGAGTTATAATTTGGGTTCTCATTTGATACGAAAGCTCTGTACTAAAAATGATCAACGTCGGTTAACTTTTTGGGTCCCCATATGACGGTTGTACCCCCGAAATTTCCGGATCTTGAATTTTTTGGTAGAATCTTTGCACATCTTAATAATTCTTCCAAACTTAGTTTAAGTTCGATGATGGGGGTTATCGGTCCACGCTTCTGCTACCTCCCCCAAGTTTGAAGATGGCATCCATTGGTCCACTCCTTCTGGTACCGCCCCCCCAAAGGGTCAAAATGTTTAATATTTATGAATCCAACATCAGGCGAATGGTATATCCGATTTGAACCAAATTTTGCAAAACCTCAAGTCCGAAGGTGGGACCCGTCTGTCCTCTCCTCTGGTACATCCTATAAAAAGGGTCAATCTATATATATATATATATATAAGAATTGCGTTATAAGTGACTAACTGATAAGGCGGGGTTTTTGGAAATTCGTACTAAAAGGTACTAAAAAGTACTAAAAACTGTATTACGCGGGAACGGTTAGATGTAGAAATCTGAGATTTGGTACGCAGCTTTGCGTACGATAAGAGAAGTGGTATGTGTGAAAAAAAATTGGAATTTAGTACTAAGAGGTACTAAAAAAGTGCTAAATATTATATTTAAATGGAAACAGTAGAGATACTTATCTTAAAATTGATATGTAGCTTAAGCCATTACAAATAGAATGTTGTGCAAAAATATCTTTCGGAAATTAGTACTAAAAAGATAGAGATAGAAATCAGGAACTTTATATCACGAATTCTATGTCACGCACTGTTACAGCGTGCGAAATATAATCGTTTGTTTAGTTAAGAAAAATTTGTTTTCGAAACTTCTTTTGCAATTTTTATACCCTGTGGTACACGGTATTATGTCATTGTGCATATTTTTGTAACAGGCAAAAGAAAACGAGATAGACACATGGTTCCTTTTGAGAATATGCATAGAATCACTTTCTGAGTCGATTTACGCATGTCCGTCTGTCCGTCCATGTATTTTTGTGAACAAAGTACAGGTCGCATTTATGATCCGATTTGGATGAAATTTGGCATAGGTCACTTGTTTGGCCCAAGGACGAACCCTATTGAAATTCGGTTCAGATTTAGATATAGCTCCCATATATATTTTCACCCGACTTAAGGTAAATTGAACACTAAAGTCCGTATATAAACATATTTCGATTTGCACGAAATTTGGCATAGAGTACTGAATTAGGTCCTGAATGATGTTTGCCTAGTTTCGAGAAAATCGGTTCAGATTTAGATATAGCTCCCATATAAAGTTTCGTCCGATTTAATATAAATGGTGCACCAAAGTCCCTATACATCTTTCGATTTGCATGAAATTTGGCATAGAGTACTGAATTAGGTCAAGAATAATGTGTGTTAAGTTTCATGAAAATCGGTTCCGATTTAGATATAGCTCCCATATATAGTTTTGTCCGATTTTATGAATATGGTACACCAAAGTCCTTATATATCTTTCGATTTGCACGAAATGTTGCATCGTGTACTGAATTGAGCCTAGAATGACGTGTGTCAAGTTTCGAGAAAATCGGGTCAGATTTATATATATCTCCCATATATATGCCCGTCCGATCTAAGGTAAATGGTGCTCCAAAGTCCCTATATATCTTTCGTTTTGCACGAAATTTGGCATAGGGTACTGAATTAGGTCCGGGATGATGTGTGCTAAGTTTCGTGAAAACCGACCGTTTTAATTTAAATTATGCACTAAAGACAGAAACAATTTATTTTTATTTATTATTTATTTAAGTTCGTTCAATTTCATTTCAATGTTCCTTTGAAAAGGCGAAGTCTATGGATAGGATACATATGTAGAATATACTCAAAGTGGTGAATGGTATTATATAGACGGCCCAGTCCGACTTTACTACTTTTTTTATACCCTTCACCACCCTGTGGTACAGGGTATTATGTCTTTGTGCATATGTTTGTAACAGGCAAAAGGAAACGAGATAGACACATGGTTACTTTTGAGAATATGCATAAAATCACTTTCTGAGTCGATTTATGCATGTCCGTCCGTCTGTCTGGCGATGTTAAATTGTAAACAAAGTACAGGTCGCATTTGTAAACGGTCCCTATATATCTTTCGATTTGCACGAAATTTGGTACAGCGTAATGAATTAGGTTTAGAATGATGTGTGCCAAGTTTCCTAGAAATCGGTTCAGATTTGAATATAGCTGCCATATATATTTCCGTCCGATTTAAGGTAAACCAAAGTCCCTGCAAATCTTTTGATTTGCACGAAATTTGGTACAGCGTAATGAATTAGGTCAAGAATGATGTGTGTTAAGTTTCGTGAAAATCGGTTCAGATTTGGATATAGTCCCCATATATATTTTCGTCCGATTTAAGATAAATAGTGTACCAAAGTCCCTATATATCTTTCGATTTGTTCAAAATTTGGCACAGCGTAATGAATTAGGTCAAGAATGATGTGTGTTAAGTTTCCTGAAAATCGGTTCAGATTTGGATATAGCTCCCATAGATATTTTCGTCCGATTTAGGTAAATGGTGTTCCAAAGTGTCTATATATACTTCGATTTGCACGAAATTTGGCATAGCGTACTGAATTAAGTCTAGAACGATGTGTGTTAAATTTTGTGAAAATCGGTTCAGATTTAGATATAGCTCCCATATATATTTTCGTCAGATTTTAGGTAAATAGTGCACCAAAGTCCCTTTATAAACTTAGATTTTCACAAAATTTGGCTTAGCGTACTAAATTGAGTCTAGAATGATGAGTGGTGAGTTTCGGGAAAATCGGTCGAGATTTCGATAT